AGTTTTACTAGTAATATTACCCCGATTTAATTTTATTTATATTGTCATTATTATTATTATTTAATAGTTATATTGATATAGAATACGTTATATATGTGAGACCTTTATTTTGAAAGTGGTTTAACTCCATTTTCCAAAAAAATCAAGTGAGTTACCGTAATAGCTACATTTTTACATGATCTTTTTATTCCGAAGCAATTTGTTACAAATATATTTAAAATCATGAAGATTTTATAACAAAAAAATTTGCCGATTAACACAATAATAAAAAATTTATTTCGAAAATCGCCTAACTCCATTTGTCATTTATTATTTTTTGGTTGCACATGGTTATTGTACAACTTCATGTTATGTACCAATAAAGCATTTGAGGTTGCTTATATTCCGAGTAAATATTATAATACTTTATTGTACATAAAATGAAATAAGAAGATTTTGTATGAACAAAATTATTAGAAGACGCAATTTTGAAAAGGGTAAAGAATTCTGATGAAGAATCAATAAACTGATTAAAAATATGTTGCATGCGTTTTGTCAGGAATGAACTGCATCAAATTTTCTACAAAACATCAATGAATGAGAATGAAAATTTGAAATTCCTGAATTTATTACTACGTCGGGATAGACCAAAAAAGTTCGAAAATATTTTACTGACACCACTATATAAAATATCAGATAAATTACAACATCAAAATTCAAGGATATAATTAACCTATTACGATATATACCATCGGAACATCATGATTTCTTCAAATCCCTTTCACACACAAAATGTACATGAGTAGTAAATTGTTTTGTAGGTTATGTTTGTAATTTTGGACGTTATGTAGTTAAAAAATGTTTTAAATCACATAAATTATGTTTCTGAAGTGTTTAAAAGATAAGTAAAATAAATTAAGTATTGTTCTTTTTAATTTGAAGCATCTTGTATTATGTTGAATGGAGTTGGGTCCCTTCGAAATTTTATAACAAATCAAATTGTTAATTTTGAAAATGACCTAGCTTCATTCGTGGTTAGAAAACGCATATTATTCACTTAATAATTGCCATTATTTTAATAGGAACTATAAATTTAACTCTTTTAGATACACTTAAGCAGTATTACTCACTAGTATCCTATACGTATATTTTTAATTGAATTGAAACGTAAACTCTTCAATATATCGATTCGAATATAAATGGAGTTGAGCCACTTTCAAAATAAACGGTTCATGTATAGATTAGTTTAATAGGAATAATTTACATTTGCAAACTTAAAAGCTTTGATTTTTTTTGGTAAATTTCACGATATTATTATTAATGGATGAAAAACCGAAGTAGAATGATCGTTCAATCAAATTCAGTAGTTCGTACTATCGATTTGTCTACCAATTGCCAACTAATTTTCTTTTAATTACTATTAATAAACCCTATTAGTTTTACTAGTAACATTATCTCGATATAATTTTATTCGTATTATTATTATTATTATTATTATTATTATTATTATTATTATTATTATTATTATTATTATTATTATTATGGTTATTATTATTATTATTATTTAAAAGTTATATTGATATAGAATAGGTTAAATGTATATATGTTTTTTCGATCATATTCAATTCGTTTTCGACGGAAAATATTGTAATTCGATTAAAATCAATCAAATTTCTCGATATCTTTCAATATTATCGGATATCAATTATATTTGTATAATAATAACTGATACGTTTTTTAATTATTAATTAGAATAAATGTGATTAAAACAATTTACAGTATTATCAAATTAATTAGTCGATCAAAATAAGAATAGTTGAATAAGGAAATGATTTATTTAATTTATAATAGAAAATTGATTATAGTGATAAGGAAAGGAAAATCTAATAGTATTAATTAAAATAATCTATTATATATATATATATTGTTGATATCCATACTTTAAAGTTATGGAACAGTATGTCCAATTTTTTATCAATATAAATAGCATTATTACACATTCTTATTTGATTGGTGGTTTGATTCAACTAATGGTATAAAATAGACCAATTGTAAGACGACTTTTATGTTTTTTTAAAAAACATCAAGATTACTTAATAATTTGAATTGAAATTATGTGACGTGATAATATTATAATCATATCTAAAATAAAAGTCAGAGGATAATACAGTATATAAATCTTAAATAACATTAAACAATGATTGCAACGAAAAATTGATACAATAATTAAATAGTCAATTGTTTATTTTATTAGTAAAAGGCACGATAATAACATTTCATTAAAATTATATAACATAAAATTATTCTGAATTAATTGAACACATAAAGGTTTTTAATCAATACAATTAAAGATATTAAAATCATCAGCATATGAGAATAAATTTAAAATTGTGAAATACATGAAATTATATTATTTACAAATAATTAATTATTACATGACAATTATACCGATCAATTAAAATATGAAGTAAACACGAAGTCCTGCTTTCCATGAGTCACCCTATATATGTAACAGTTATTTCGTGAATTCAATCAATTCATAAAATATAATTAAAGTTGTGAAGTAAAATATGAAATAAGTCAGAATTATATACTTCAATTAAGTAATATATAAACTCACGAGAAATGAATAGTTAAAGTATGAAATTGATGTTTCATCAATCTTTAAAATCATTCTTTGTTTCTATAAACAATACTTCAAATTATGTATTGTGTTATTTGTTTCTTTGCTGTGAATACAAATGTTCCGGTTTAGTCGATTTTGAACGTACCACATTGAAGTGTATATAGTATCAGGGTTAATATAGTTTTCATAGAAATGGATTTTATTCAGAAAAAAAGTTCGTTGAAATATTGGAAGCTTTACCGGTCACAGTGTGCTAACAGTGCGCATATGTCATCAGTGAAATACAAGAAGCTTCTGTAAGGAAGGTAAAGTGTGTTAAAGTTTCCAGTCGAATAAAACCAAAGGATTTTTGATCGTTGAATCACTATGTATGATGTCATTCAAATCCGAAGAGTTGAAAAAGTAATTTAAAATTTAAAAAAGGGTATATACTGTGCCAATTGGAAATGTCACGGAAGAAAGTACACGTGCTGTAATAAATAATTTTTCTCTGACAAAATTTTAAGACAACTATTTGTAATAGTATTATGAAACAAAATAACCAGACATCTAGTATTCATATGATATCTAGTTATATTATGATGTATAATACAATTATTTGTATATGCTTTAATTAAATTACTCAGTTAGTTTATAAAAATAATTTAATTAGATAACTAAACAGTATATATATGTAAAAATCACAATGTCACAATGTTTGTCCATTAATAACTTCGAAATTACTCAGCCGATTTTCATAAACTTTTTTTGATTTTGTGTTATTTGTTGTAACTTAGAAAATAGGATAGTTTATATAGCAATTTTTGTTTATTTTTTATAGCAAAATTGAGGATTTATTATTAAGAGGTTATCTAGAACTCTAGGTTCTGTAAGCATTCAATAGATGGCACTGTATTACAATTCAATTATTTCAATTTATTCAGGTTACAAGTTTCTTTCGGATTTACATACGTCATAACCTTACTTTTCCTATTTTTGTTGTGTATTGGAATATCTAGCACTTGAATACGCTATCTGATGGCTAAATTCAAAATTAGAGTAGATAGGCGAATTGCTACGCCACGCCCCTGCCAGAGATCCAAATTATTATTTTATGTATTCCATTTTCTAATTGTGGTATTATTTTGTATGTTGATT